ATACGCAACTTCGCGTCTCATTCCTTATTTAATTCTGTCAGAATTCCACAATACTTCTTCGAAGCTTTCCATTCGATCGAATATCGTTGTTAATGATATGAAGGAGTCATCTCGAATGTGTCCAAAATCACCTCGCGCTAGGAATTTCAAAAGGAGAAAGAAAATTTGTCTTTCTTTGCTCTTTTGCCAACTTAAGAGGGCAACGACAGCATCTCGAGTTGCTGCAAAAACCGAATGGCGAGCGGGAGTCGCCTTTCCAGTTACCGCAAAACACCGAGTGGCGAATGAGAGTCGCCTTTCGAGTGCAAAGGGTTAAACTTTGGAGTCTGCACTTTAATCTTGTTTTTATTTGCTTTTAAGCGGTGGTACCATTTTTCGGTATAAAAATCGCGGTTTAGAGCGAACCGTTTTTGAAACTAGCTTCTTCTTTTGATCTCTGGTCTTCGCTATTATTTGCAGCTGATTTATAAAGGAAGGACTAACTCTAACCCTTCTTTTAAAAGTCGATTTGAAGCATTCATATTGTATATTTTCTTCTGGAACACGCGAATAAGAAATATGGCGACCATGACACTCGGAAGTTTGCTTTAATTGTAAAATTTCATACCTTCAGAAAGACTAGATTTCTTGCAAAGCACAGATAAAAATGTCGCGCGATTGGAGCACGCGAATAACCAATATGGCGACCATGACAATCGAAAGTTCGATTTAATCGGAAAGTGCTGTGGTTGATGCCTTTAGGAAGGTAAAGCAAAGGAACTATCAGGCCCCTCCGTGGTTTGGGGCCCGTCGAAATTTGTAATCCATCCGCGAGGCGCACGCGTGCGCGCGTTAACACGCCTGTAAACACGGGTCGCGGTTGCGCTTGCGCACCGGCACTCGCTCACCGAGGTGATATTCCGACGTCCCCGGGGACGGGTCCGGCCATTGTATCTCCTCGCGCTCATTAAATATTAACGAGAGTCTCAATTTCTTCATTTCGTTGATGAGTCGCCGCGCGCCATCCGAGAACCCGCATATAGATTGAAAATTAACTTATATGAGCGCCGACAAAATATATACGGCGTACGCGGGCCCCGGCCGTGCAGCGCGCTGCACTTATACGACTCCGGGGCCTACAATTTACACGAGAGGTCCCTATGTTGGTATAACTCCTAAGTAGGATACCTTCTTGTTCCTTTTGCACCGTCTCTCGACCTTCCTTCCCTTTCTTCGTCCTCCTCCTCTTCCTCGAACGTCGAAACTCTTTTCTCCTCCGGTTGCCAGCGCCCCCTCTACACCCCCGACCGCCTAACACTCTCCATCCCGCCTCTTACTCACGCACGAACGTGAAATCCTTAAATACCTAATTTGATGCTAATTAGAACTCGCACTTGCTCCGCGACCGGATCGTTCCGTGGCTCGCGTGTGGCGGAAACACACTCAACCGCGGGTTCCCATCGGGGGCGGGGGAGGGGGAGGATCGTAACGCGGTTATTGATATTTCGAGGGAACATAGTTGTCAGGGTCGTTGGAAAACCGACCAATCGCTAGCACTTACCCGCGCCACGCAAAAGATCTTCAATGTAACGCGGGCATAATGTGGCGCGCGCGAATAAAACTCGCGTTTCATGGGATCGCGATTGGCGCCACTGTCGGCCATCTCTTAACTCTTTTACTATCGAAAGCGTATGCAGGGGTGATTCTTAACCAGACTCTTTCGAGACCGTGCACCTAAATTCTGTCGCAAAAATTAAACGACTACGAGTATATGAAAAGATAAACAATCACTTTAGGTTTTAATTTCATCGCTAACATTTATTTATTCACTTAACTTAAACATTTGATCGATAAAAATCAATCACTTGGAAAAGATATCGAGTAAATTTACGAGTGTGCTCGTCCATGACACAAAATGTTACGAGACACACACGAACCATATATGTATCGAGAAGAAAATAGTAGAATTTGCTAAAGATTATGTAAATGTGCCAACGGAGTGGTGGAACCGGTAATTGTTACTGGTGGTATTTTATAGAATGGAGGCAATAAACTGCAGTGCACAATTCTTAGAACCTGCACCAGTAGTAAAACACAGTTGTTGTTACGCACTTGCTCGGAATGAATAAGTGCATCTGGTATTGGAATGTTACACTTCTTTGATGAAATAATGAATCGCTGAATGTACATTGGCATCCAGAAAACCCCATCCCGCATCTAACGAAGAGAAAACGAGCATTAAAAACAATTTAATAGGAGTCAACGATCTTAAACATATTGGCTATAATTCAAGAATATGAATCTTACGCAACATGTTAGGACACTTAAAATACGCCTACGCAGTCATTAGACGTTAACCTCGTTGAATATTTATGGCATCATCTGGAATGCAATGTTCGAACACACATTTTATGCTAAAAGAATTTTAGGAAAAACTTTTGTAGAGGAATGGAGCAACATTACTTTGAGCGTTGTTTCCAATTTAGTTGTTTCGATGACTGGAAGGCTTGTAGCAGTCGTAACACCTCTGCCAATTATATACGAAATATCATTTTTTAATATAGAGGTTTAAATTAGACACGGTTTGTTTTCTGAATAAAGAATCGTAGCGAAATCGTTCTAAAAATTAGAAACATTGTGAAACGTGGAGTTCAATTAATGTAATGGTTGTTTAAACAAGAATGAGAAAGAGAAGAATTTCATTTTACAAATTACTGTCGGCTGGAAGCAGCGTTATCCGAACGTAAATAAGGGCATGTATACCCAAGATTTTAATTAAAATTGTTCTACAGCATCCTAAAATTCATCCTTTTTCCTACAAAAAATGAAGGAAACGCAAATAGAACGGGTAATGACGAGCAACGAATAGCATTTCCAAAGTCCAGATGTACGTAACTATTTATTATACGATAATAGTCGCACTCGAATGCAGCACATTAATTTATCTATACAGTTTTACATAATTGGTTCACGCATTTTAAGACGCTGACGTACATTAAATCATCTTGCTATGCTACACATGCCTAATATGCGACTGCAGCCACTTCGCCGACTATGCAAACTATTCCTGACTCGGGTTTTGTGTCGCAAAAGTGTGGAAAGAAGTAAAAAAAAAAGGGAAAAACAGAGAAAAAAAATATGCTGCGAGCGTTGCCGCGTAATTGACGAGATCTTGCCCGCAGAGCGAGTACTAATTGCGCGCAAAGTTACCCGATTTAGAATCCATTCGCGACGATCTTATTCAACGTCTCGTCGTCTGCGTTTGATAAATATAATTTCTGACACGACGTGTATAAAAATTATAGGTTCTCGACCGATACAGGTAAATTTCTCCCTTCGGTAGTTAGGAATCCTCGTTTCTATTGTTTTCGTGTCATACGTTTGTCGGCTGGTGAATTGTGTTTTTCGTTTATTTCGAGATCATCACTTTGCTACACATCGATCTGCTGTTAAGAAACTTATTATACCCAAGCTTTCTTCCGCAAATGGACGTACGTTGGGTACGACTAAAAATTTTGCGAGTTCTCCGCTAATCATCATTCTCACTAATATACATACCGTGTCGTCAGTGGTCAAATGAGTGTGTTTCGTACCGATCGAATCCAAAGATCGCGGATTCGTCTGGATAAATATGAAATTATTCTTCTTATTGATCTGGCCAAAAAATGAATTAAATTTCTATTACACAAACATTATAGTCCGCTTTGAAATTTGATATAAAAGTGGACTTTCGATTTACAAGTACAAGTACTTCTTATCTTTCTTATTTCTTCTTTATTTGAAATGTATGTTGTCTGTTATGTAATTTCCAATTAAACTACGACTGACAATTTAACTTCAATCACATTTTCGTCGTACCTTACCGATCGAGGGTTGCAAGTACTTAATTCCAAAAGCATGAAAACAAAGAGTAATTTAATATAGAGATTAGACTTAAATAATTTTGAATAAATAGTTTGACAAATGGATTCGTGGAATTCGTGAATTGCCACAGATTGGTCTGCGAAACACAATTCCTTTGGATTCGCGCGGCACCGTAGAAAAAACTCGTTATCTTAGCTACGTTTTTGGCACGAGGAGAGGAACGCCGTCTTGACACACGTCGCTTGTTCGTTCGCTATTCTAGCCTTAAATCGCCGTTCTCGATATCAAAAAGTCTCTATTATTCGGCTAAAAAGGAAGAGAAGCAGCGCGCGAAGTCGGGGTCGCGTATCGTGTCGGGAAAATCGAGGTACCGAAACGCGGCCATTATTGATCACGGCCGTAATTTCGCATCGTGCAATAATTTGTACTACGATCGACTGGCAGGCAATTCTTTGTACAAAAATACTACGAACGCGTGGACCAAGTTATTTTTAACAAGAGGTTCGCTTTTTAGAGAAAATTCATTTTAAAAATATACTACATACAACGAAGGTATGGATTCTTGCTTGCTCGACGAATTTTTCAACAGTTCACCGTCCTCATTTTTTGGTGTACCTTGTTCCAACGTCAAATCTATATCAATTTTATTATCTTCTATAAACGTTACACGGTATTCGTTGCATTGAAACAGAGTAGTACCAAAATTTCTGCTTTTACAGCTTCGTTACAAAGAATCACCTTGATTTCCGTTCCGCCGCGAAATGCACCCCGCTCTATATATTTCTCGATAATTATAGTCCCCGATACGATCGAGCACGGCCCAAATGGAAACGACATAAAAATGGTTCGCAATAAAAATCGATCGGGCGATATGGCCCGCATGAAAGGCCGATTATCGACGAACGAGATACTCGTACGATATAGTAACACTCTATAAAACAACGGAAAGACCTTATTAACCTCGCGCGACATTTTTACAATCGAACGTGGCCATTTCTTTCTTTGATAAATCGTTAATGGTACCTCGTTCTCCGCACGCGTACCCGGCTCGCGTTCTCGCTAGCGAGATAACCTATTGCCTAGTACCTTTGGTAATTCGGATGTGCATGGAACTATGATTATTATCACTGATTACTTAAACATAATCCGTCGCTGGAACCAGGTCGCGATCCCTGACAGTTTCCTGGTGAGATTTTTCTTTTCTTTTTACTACACGATTGGATGTGGAAGACCTCCATTTTGATTCGCTAGTCTACCGTCTCGCTGCGTTATCCGATCGATCGATCGTTCGCGGTTGTTTACTCGAAATAATGCTCGTGATCGATGAATGGTCGTTTGTTCCTGTTAAGCACGATTGACGTTTGGTACTGAGAAGATCTGTCCAATGGCGGTCGAAACGAACGGCGATAACCGTGAATATTTAACAAGTTTGTACGAACAAATGGCTCTCGTGCGCGTGATATTCGCGAACTTCGAACATCGAGATCGCGAGGTCTGCGATTACTCACCAGGAAGGTCGTCAGCAGTTCAGCGAGTCCGTTCGCCAAAATTCTCGTCCGCCATGCTGTTCAGGAGAGAAGTCCTGTCAAACCCGAATAAAAACACAGTCTCCCGTCGTCCCCGGGACCTACACAAAACGGAGTCCAACTGTTCCACGGCGGTGAGCCTCGGAAATAGAAAATAGGAGCGAAAGAAAACCGAGCGGATCCTGGAACGACCGTGTTTCCCCTCCCCCGAAAGACAGCGCGTCGAGAGTCGATCCTAAAGAAGGGACGCGGCGATCCTTCATCCAAGATGGCTGGAAAGGCTGCTATAGCTGTCTTCCTCCATCTCAAGCCGTCGTCAGTAAAGATCGGAGAACGAGACCTGAGAGGAAACGCCGGAATGTAGGTGATGAAGAGCGTGCAGCTCCTCCATCGAGGTCGATGGCATGCTGTTGCTGTCCCCCAGGATGCTGGCCGACGGTCCCACGTTCGGTGAACCGCCCGTGCTCGAGGGCACCGGTGTTCCGGGACACCCCACGTTGCCCGACGTCGTGTTGCCCTCCTGCCTCATCATGTTCCGTCGCCATTTCGCGCGGGCGTTTTGGAACCAGACCTAGGTGCACGAGAATCGTTCAGAGGCCACTCCACCTCAATATCACACTCCTATTTTGATCAGATTAAACTGTGATGTAGGAGTTAACGCCAAGATTCACAATCATGAGGCTACTCGTCATCTCGCCTTGTATATTAAAATCAACCCCATTTTTGCATCGACGATTCTTAGCACAAATCTATTTTTTTCGTAGCCAATTTAAACAAAATGAAATAGTACAAGTTTGAAAAATTATTTCCGCGTGGAAAGATACCTACTCGTAAAGAAGAAACGATCTCCGTTATTAATTATTCTTTGATCGATAGTATTGCCGGGTAAAACGTGGGTCCGGCGTAGCGAAAGAAATTGAAAACAAAATTTATGTCCCACCTGAAGCACCCTCTTCGAGAGTCCCGTCTTTTGCGCCAGTTGCTTGAGGTCCTTCGCATCGGGGTTCTGATTTATAGCAAAATAATTCTTCATCGTTCGCAACTGGTGATGCTTGAAGCTCGTTCTCATGCGCTTTGTTCGCTGGCTCTGGTGCACGGGGCCCGGTGACCCGACAGACGCGTCATACGCTGCCAGGGATTCCATGGACGAAGACAGTTCGGTAGGATGGAGTAGTTCTGCAACAAAATGGCCTTTACCGAATACTTCTATTCCGTTCAACGATTCGTGTAACTTGAATACGTTGAAATTAATCGCTACAAAGTGGAAGATAGAATTCTATACTATATTACGAGACGAAGATTTGGAAGCCTCGGAATATCGGTTTAGAGATTCGATATTATTCTGATAGCGACTCGAGTCGTGAGCAGGACTCATTTGGAGGAGGAACGAAGGCCAACGGGGAACGCCGGTTATAATTGATGATCGTGTTTAATTAATCGATGCGTCGAGGGCAAGGTGAGGCAAGAAAGGGGGCCGGGAGCGAACCGGAGTACGGAAATTTAATCTTTCAGCAACATCTTCGACAGGACCACGGCAAGGTTTGTTGAAAGAGGTTAAAAGAGCGCAGCGCGCGTGTATGGAGTCCATACGGCGCGGGCTTTCGCGTACCTATTACAAAGATTTCTTAATCTGATCGGCCGGCAGGACGCGTGAAAGGAGCCCGGCCGTGTCTGTAAAAAGACGAGACAGCAGACAGAAAAAAAGGCAGGCGTCGATCGTACGATACACGGAAGGCTCGATGGTAAATGAGAGGATTCCTCTCCGATCGTTGCTGAATGCTTGTGATCCATCAATCGATACTAGGCGACTATCTAGCCTTCGAATCGTGCGATTTGTTCTTCTGTTTGGAAACAATCGAAGAGCAACATTCTTCCAGGGACCGTCGTTCCCTTTTTAAAAAGAAAACGAACCCTTGGTACCATTTTTTTCCCCCTTGTGCCTCGATCATCGATTACGGAAAGTCCACAGCACCTCGCTTCGTTTCAATATTTTTTCAAAGGTTCTATTTTTCGTAATTTCAATTAGTTGATGTCGAGGAAAATATGTCGAGGAAGATACGTCTTGTTTCAGGCGTTTATTAAGGCACTGTCTTGCACTGTCTGTACTCTGAGCATATGTTCCTGAATTTGCTAATATTACATCTAATGCGTGCTGCTATAGACTTTCCTAATCCGTGTACGTCGAAGCTAATATTCCTCTGTATCGAATACGCTTCAGCCGTATCATCCTTGCATGATATTAAGTATCAAACCCAGTTGGTGTGGATTATACAGAAATTTCGGAGATTATATCGATATTGTTCACTATTGTTCCCGACTGTGCATTCTTTCATCGAACGGGGAGGGGTAAAATGTTCAAAATAATTGAAAACCAGGGTAGGCGAAGCGTGAACCGAATTAAAAGGTTGGACAGCTGTCATACTACTTTTCCCAACGATGGTCGTTCGTCTCTTCCGAGTTAAAAGCGACCTGGTTCGCCGAGACTACCCATTCCAGTCTACCGAAAACGACCAACACGGTAAAAACTCCTATTGTCGCCTCCCGATGGACATCGACAGCGGTTGGAACCGGCCGCAAACGGACCGATCGCTCGGTACCCCGTCGTTCCCCTTCGCGCCGCCGCCGCGGAGAAACGGGAACCACCGTCGTCGAGCGAATTTCCGCGCACGTAACTGCGCGGAGCAAGCTCTCCCGGCCGGGATAAAGGAGAGGCATCGGGAACGACATCGGTGCAACCGTTCAGTGCCGTTGCAAGTTGCAGTTGTTGCGCGCCGCCGGAGCGAAGGAACGCATCCAATAAATAAGACGACGAGGGTAACCATTGAATTCAATCGGGAGAAAGAACGGGTTCCAGCGACGTTCGCGGACAGCCGCTGGGACCACGCCGGGAGCGGCCGGAGGGCGAGGGGGCAGTCCACCCAGAAGTAAATCCCCGAGCACGTATCCGCCATTACTGTTTATTGTCCCGAACTTCCATTCCCTGCGGACGACGACGGGCTGCTCCGGCTCGCGATCCAGAAAAGAGAAGAACCGCTTTCGCGGACGGCCACACCGCCGCTGGAATTCGTTCTCTTCGAGGTGAACGACACGAATTTTTGTTTCCACACGATCGCTGGAAAACCGCCTCTCTCCGCGCGATTCTTCGAGGGACTCGAACAAAGATTAAATTCGTTACGAGGATTCCTCGAGGTTCGATAACGAGGACGAACCCCGTTCGTCTCCTCCAGACCCATCCGTGTGGTTTCGAGTACTTTCGTTAGATGGTGTTTCCTTCGTTGGGTATTGTTACCATCCCCGGGTAACCCTACCTAATTGGTGTTGGTCGATCGGGAATTTATCTTTGCCTCGAAGACGAATTTGTTCGCCGCGGAGATTCGATCGTCGGGTATCGCGAAATACGAGAAGGGTTTATGAAATGTAATCGGGAATGGATAGTTTGAAACAGAGATAATTACAGTTGGTTTAAGCTGATTTCGGACAGGAATCGGGCACATACGATAGGAATTATTTTAAGCCGAATATAGTGCAAAGCTGCTACCATGGACGGGCATGGTCAATAGCATTTACTAGAGTTTTGCTAGAGGAAACGATTTCGAATATAAGCTCGGGTTAATTGGACGGCAGTTTATGGACCCGCTAATCGTCTTTAAAATTCCACACAAAGTATTTTTTATAACTGGTAGTGTGATTCCGAAGATTAAGTCGTTAAACATTGATGTAGGAATATGGCGTCGAACAGAGAATCAGAGGATGTCGCGACTTTACAAAATGGAGACGATAACAGAAAGGAGTTTGATCCAATAAACACGCTACGATCGAGTATGCATTAATAAAGTTCTTGTTTCCAAATTTTAAGTCTTTTCTGCTATCTCTTACTATTTTAACTTTAATACGCTCTTTGATACGTAATATTTTATAGTTTCTGCAGTAGTTCTTCGTATCAAAATTAACAGAACCCATGTAGCAGTTTTTGGTTACTATTCTGGGTTTAAGCGAATAAATCTGGAAGTCCCCGCACGTTCCTTTAGAATTCTTTACTTCTTTTAAACGTTCTGCCTCTGGTTTTGCTCGCTCTAATCCTTCCTTTTCTACCCTATATTTTTCTATCTCTTCCATTTAGAGTACTCAAGAGCATACACAAGCCAGATCTATAAGTTTCAAAATATGAAATAGAGTTTTCCATCGTTCAATCTTCCCTTTCATAAAGAAATATTCTACAACGAAAATTCTATATTATACGTGTCGCTGCTGGTCGAAGGAAGTGCAGACCGTACTGGGTCAGACGCCCTAGTCAGCCATCGAAGCGCTTACCACTAAATAAACTCGACGCTATTCGTATTCTTCTTATCGATGACACGTTATTCTCAATCTTTGTCGACTGTTAACATATCTGAGCAGAAAAGTTTGTACCAAAGTATAATCGAGGAGCCTTCTTCCTCGGCCAGCGGTCTCTTTTCCCACCGAAACTAAAAAGTCCGCGATCCACGTCGCAGAGCGCGCGCAATCATCGTGTAATTCCCAAAAGGATCGCTTTCCCCAGAACCAGCTCTATCAATAAACGCAACCGAGGCCCCTGCAAAAGGAATACGCCAGTTTTTTCACGAAACTGGCCTGGTTCCCAAGCGAAGTCGCCGCGACGGCGACGCGGCGAAGTCAGGCTTTGAAACGGAGGGGGGGGAGAGGGGGTGGTTGGCGGAGGGATTTGGTGGTTCAAGAATGAGATTACAATTTGTCAGGACCGAGCTAGAGGCCGAAATCACGCGGATGGCACGGTCGGTCCAGGCGAGCGAGGGACGCCCGGACGGCAAGAAACTCGCGCAGGCGGCATTATAGTGTTCCGCCGGCCATTCTGCTGGCTGCGGCCACGTATTGGCCACGGCAGCATTCTTTTCCGGCCAGATCGGCCAATCGATGCATCTCGCCACCGATACCCATCTGTCACTGTCCACCGGGGCCTAGCCTTTTCTCCGCTCGTCGAGCGCGCCTCTGAAGGACGGGACGCATCCAGCGAAATTGCTCCCATCGACGGGGACCGTTCCCTCTTCCGGGGACGGACAAAAATTCTCCCTGCCTTTTCGGTTTTTGGCGATCTTCCCTCGATCGACCCTCGTCGGTTTCGAAATCATCGCAATCAGAGACATTGGAAAATTTCATTTTCGAAGTACATCTGGTGTACTACGAGATGCCATTTTCTTTAGTACCTAAAGTCGAACGCGATTATAACGAACTCGAATGTATGGAGATTAGGACTACAACTAACAGAAAGTGAAATTTTTAATAACTCGAAATAGTGTACCGTAATTCATGCAAGAATATTAATATAAATAATGTGTTTTTTTTTTTATTTTTGATGTCTGTCTATCGTGTTAAAAGTAGTAGAAGTAATCACTGTGCACCGTGAGTAATAGTTACAGCATGAAAATTATTATACATCGACCCCCTTGTGCTCGTTATAACAAAGTTCGACTGTTATTATATTAGTACCCACATCTCGTACGTTCCCCTACAGGAGTAATTGATAGTCTTTGTCAACGGTTGATATTGATTATCTCCCTATCGCCAGCCAACTTATCGTTAAACTGATGTTCTTTAAAACTGTCGGGCCATTTTTGAGGTTCACCGCCATGGTGGTTACCGATGGCCGGCATTTTGAACCTATAATCAATCGACTGATTTCTAACAACGTCGGTGTCATTTACAACCACAACATAGTAAATTATTGAACTATTGAAAAACTATAAATCCGACTCCTCCATTCCGAATCGATGTCTTCAGCCGTTCTTCGAGCAAGAATATCTCCCTTGCAATTCCTGACCCACAAAATATCGGGGGAAAATATTTCAAAAAAGTTGTCCGCTTTTTCTCCCCCCCTCCGGCGAGAGACGCGGACCGACGTTGATGGAACTAATTTTTCAGCGTGCAAGAGCCCCACGGCCGCTGCGAAAGCATTTTCAATGGCCGAGAAACGACGGACTTATCGCGGTCGCAATTCCAACGATTCATCGAACGCGCCTGCCGACGTCCAGACGGAATAGTTCGTGGGATCCCCCGTCCGCGGCAAAAAGTGTCCCAATTATATATAAAGACAATAAAACGCGAACCAGTCGGCGGTTCCCACCCCGTCTTCACGGACGATTTTATGGCTGTTGGTCGTAAATTCCAGCCGGTAGTCCGAAAGTGATTCTCCCTGATCGCGCGTCGATTATAAAATAACTGACAACCGCGAGCCACGACCGGTAGCCGGACACGACTCTTGAACTCCCTGTCGAATCGTCGTAAACATCGCGAAACAAATGAGTTCCGTGATAGAACGGCTCACGGGGAATAAAATCGGACACGTCGTTCGACAAACGAGGGTGTTTTGCGTGAGCGTTAAATGAATTTATCTGGTCGAGCGACCGGGCGAAACGAACGGAACGATTTTGGGGGATCTGGTTCCGTGACACTGGTTCCGGGGGCAGTTAACGTCTCGCTGAATTAACATATGTCGCCCTTTCGATCTGATAACGCCGTGAGATGTTCTTCGACGTTATTTTAATTGTCCCTGGGAAGAACTACTGTCTGGGAACAGAATGGCTGACGCGTCGGATAATTCTACTGGCTCGGTTGGCAATTGCATAGCTAAAATATCAAGAAATATTTGTAAAACTACTATCTCACGGTTGTTCCGTAATATTAGACTTTTCATATCTCGTCAGACTCTTCTTCAACCTCTAGCATCTTCGCTCTTAATTGCACAGCCCGCTTCCTTCGAACGTTTTATCCAACGAGGGTACGTCTTCCAATTTAAATCGAGGCCAATTTAGGGCAAGGTTGTGGTACATGTTGGGTAATAAGACATTTTCAGAATTCTTTTTCTATACCCTATTAAAATTTCAAAGTAAATCGTCCAACGTTTCATACGTCGTACGCAGCACGCTGAAAAGCGCCATTTCGAGGAGAACGGTGGCTTTGATATAATATAATAATTACTTATATTTCCAAGCATTTTGCATTAAACTAATTTCACGCTTACAAATTGGAAAATATATAAATGTTTTCGTTCTTTCGATGATTCGTTCGTAGCTACGCCATTGCGCGAGTTACAGACAAAATGGACGCTCGAAGCAGTTCTACGAATTGTTAGGACTCCGCTTCCAGTTCTCCTTTAACCTAACTTTCGCTATACGTGATATTTTCTTGAATCTCGAATATCATTCTCCTCCGTACACATTTTAGGTTCGACTCGATAACGTTCGTTATTATTCTGCGATCGTAGCACATTTTCATAGTGTTTGTCGTCGCTGGTGGCTTGAATGGACATTTTCTGCGTAGTCGGTTGAACGTTTGTCAGGGTGAGTTATTTATTCAGCCCTCGAAAAGGAAAACCGTCCCGGCGGGCAGCACATGTCCGACACAGGGCGCAGCCGCGTGGCCCCGTCGCACCAAGGATCAATTAGACAGACGGAAGGCGAAATTTCGCCGAAGAATTTCCGTGTGCGTCGATCAGAGAACCTCCAACGAGACGAACACGAACACGAACACGAACAGGAACGCGAACGCGAACACGATCAAATCACCGGCCGATTCGCGGGTCTGCGATCCTCGAGAGCTACGGCAAATGTTTGCGCGCCGAAGGAACCAACCATTATACTCATTGCTGGGCAAATAATGCAACTCCCCCTACTAACTTGTTCGATTCGAGGGATGTAGAGTAGGCTGACGAGTGGAACGGAGAGGAAGCTAGATCGATTCGAGGGTGGAAGAGAGCGAGATTCGTAGACCCGTGCACGGAAAAGGAAAAGAAGAAAGAAGAGAGGTCGCGAACAGCGCGCTACGTGTTCCCATGGTTTTAATACCGATGTTTGAAAGCACACCCCCGTTTACCATCCGGCCCAATTATCCCCCTGGCAACCCCTTCCATAACCTCTCTTACGTTCCCGCGTTGTTTCACCGCTGCCAATTACACGTATTTGCGTCCTCGGGCCGACGAGAGCCGAGACTGGATTCTTGTGAATTCTTTATTGTTTCGACTGTACGACGAGTGAAACAAAGGGTCCGCGTTTTCTTTTCCGCCCCCACCCTTCCGGTCTTTCTCTTTTGTCGCGCGATTAATCAATCGCGGGCTCGCTCGGACGGAGGCGCGATGTCGTTACGATCGACTCCTTTTCTGTAACGGCAGACACTCTTTGATGAAAGGGACTGTTTCAGTTCTGTTCGAGCAGCTCGAGTTTTTCTTTGCACTCTAATGAACTGTATTTTAATATTCTAACCGTGGAGTGTCACACTTTTTGTTTCGGGCGTAGCGTCCACTGTTCCACTCGAGCGGACATCAAAGTTGTTTGCGTCCACCGATGTTGTTTATCGTTAAAAATGTCGCTATAATTTTTTCTACGGGATCAAAATATCGTTCTGTTAGGTTGCGTGGTTTTATTTGCGCTAGAAAAGATCTAGGATACGTTAGAAAGTTTCTGTCGGAATGCGTGTGTTCCCAGAAACGATCATAACAGAACAATCCAACACGCGTTGTTAATTGAATAAATCATACAAAAAAAATATGAAATTTTGTTACTGATACGACCCACGATAGGACTAATTGGCGCACAATAAAAGGCAGAAGAAAAAGCATTTTCTGTTATTAAAAACTTCTTTCGCGAATAAAAAGTTTCTCCGTTATAAAGAACAAAAATTAGGAAAGGTAGAATTTATACGAGTGGAAGAGATTAGAAGGCGCGATAACTGTTTCCTCTTACCCAAACAAATTAAATTAAATACTTCGGTATATTGAATTCTATTTAAACGATATATTTTCTTCCGAATAGAAGTACTTTAATTTTTCTATTTCCGTTTGTTACGCGTGTGGAAATTTCAGCGTGTCTAATAGGAACTAGAAACGTTACGATTTATACAACAATACATGGAACTGCTACGATAGTTGTGTAACAACGTTCTACTGCCATTAGACGCGACTACGTCGTAAAGCAGGTTGTACAACAAATCCACGATTGTATTATGAATGATTATTATCCGAAATGTTGAAATTTTTCTACTTATATTCGATTTCAAAAAAAAGACGAAGTCGATAACTGTGACAATCGTATGAAATTTTGTCCTATTTAACGGAAATCGGTGATACTGTGGTAGACTCAATTTTTGACTTTCATAACTTTTAATACGGCGATGTAGTGAATTTATTATTTTATCAATATTCAAAGGGTCGCTATTTCTTAGGACTTTCCACAACGGTAGTAGACTTTGAGAAATCTTCTGAATCTTCTCGAAATTAATTATTAGTAATAGGGGGTGGTTAGGGTAATTGGGCCTTTTGCCTTTCGAGAGTTTAAAGAGCAAAGTACTCACCGAGAGCGCCAGCAGCCAGCCTCATCGTGACGGGTAGTTCAGCGCCGGTGACTTCCGACAGCTTCCTCTTTCTAGGGCGACCCTTCTGCACCGTGCCGGAAGTGGTGATCGGGCTCTGCTCAGCGGCGCTGTAATAAGCCGGAAGCGGCGACACCCCCGGTGAACCGATGTCCTCGATACTGCCGGCTCCGCTCCCGTAATCCCCCGCGCAGCAGAGCAACTCATAGTGAGGTCTTGGGACCGACCAGCTCGTCATTCGTGAACCTTGCTGTCGAGTATTTCAGTGGCGACCCTGCGTTATCCTCCGAGTTCGATGAACGAGCGAACGCGAACTCGCTCGCGAGAGAAGACAGACTAATGGCCCCGACCGCTTTCCGCTCGATCGGATCGACGGATCGGCGAATCGAGCGTCTACAATGATTCTCGGCCCTTTGTTTTATCTCGGCTGGACTTTTCATCCAAACGAAATCGAGACTCTGGTCCCGATTGGCGCTCGCTAACTTTTTGATCCGACCAGGCAACTTTAACCCTCCAATATGGCCGTCAAATGAACAAAAGTCTCTGTTTTTTAAAATCGTATTGGAGGGTTATCGTTCGAACTTATCTTGGAAGATCAAAGTCAATAATCACCATAACTTCGAGACTCTCGAATGGTGTTTACTCGTCACGTTGGTCCTGCAAGCTCCTATATACTTCGACAGCGTTTACCGCTGCTTTCGTCCGTAAACTCGATCAGTCGTTGGAGAAAATGTCTTACACCGGATCAAACGTCGCTGTACGACCGAACAAATGTGATTTGTACACGTTCCCTTATTCGTGCCGCCGTTCCCATCGACGTGAACCGCGAACGCGGATTAATAAACGTACGTGAGGACGAGCGTCGATAGTCCGCGACTACCGATCCCGTCGATCCAGCGGAGCGGGAAGCGGCACCGCGACGTTTTCCCATTTACGAGAACGCGCGTCGAGCTCGACTCGATCCCGTTTCTCAGAATTGAAAAGACCGGATTCACCCGCGCCGGAGGGCTGTCATTACGCGGCGAACAGAAGGATAATAAGTGTCCTACGTCGACGCGCCTCGTGTTTCTGTCACTCTCGTCATCAAACTCGTTGATAACAAAGAGACGGCCTTTGGAGGATGGTAATTCGGGCTCGTGTTTCTCACCTACAGTAGACCAGGCCGTCCCTCTGCCCGAAATGATCGCCCTTGTTCAGCGGGGTGCCGCAGGACGCGCAAGTGAAACAGGCCACGTGGTACACCAGGTCCCTCGCGCGCATCACCAGCTCCGACGCGGAGATGCCTGCCCGGCATCGAGAACATCTCGACACGGCGAACAATCTGGGAACAGAATATGCGGCGGAATTGTTTCACGAATCACTGTTCCGTCCCATTTTTATGGGTTTTTTTCATTTCACGCGGTTAAGGAACAAATTTCGAATAGTCCAGGACTATTTTGAAACATTGAAACCCTCCAATCCGTTCAAAAGTTATGATGTTTTAAAGATCTACATCTTTTGGGGCACCATTTCAGGTCACATATTATATTTTCGATAAAGAATTTTTTTTCTCGAAAGTGCGTAGAATATCGGGGTTATGTCTATCGACGAAGAATGATTGTAATTGACCCCTGGAACTAAAAATATTTTTTTTAAAACGATTTGAATAATTTTTTAATTTGTCGAAAAATTTCGCAATTCCCGAATTTTTTTCTAGGAAATGGATAGAATTTCGAGGGTATAGCTATTGGCCAAAAATGATTGAAATTGACCCTCGGAACCGAAAATAATTTTTCCAGAATGATTTGAAAATTTTTTTTTTCATCGAAAAATTTAGGCACCTACCCCCTGTCGATTTTTCTTAAAAATCAGTTTCCCATTTTTAATTAATTTGTTTGACGCCCTATAGAAAAGTTGTCTAATACTTTTTGGTAGGTACCCATGGGCTTTGCTTCAGAAAAAAATTTCATTGAAATATATTCACTATTGTAGGAGTTATGGTCGTTTGAAAATTGGACCATTTTTATGGGGGTTTTCTCATTTTGCGGGGTCAAGGAACAACTTTTCGAATATTTTTGGAATTGCTACATTTTTTACACTAAAATACGCGTCGTTTGCCTTTTTAAACATTAAAATCGTCCAATTCGTTCAGGAGTTACGACATTTTTAAGATACACATGAAATTTTGGTGAGCCTCACATTAGATTTACAGTAAAGAATTTTTTTCTCGAAAATGCGTAGGATTTCGGGGTTATGTATATTGACCAAAAATGATAGTAATTGACCCCTGAAACTAAAAATATTTTTTTAAAACGATTTGAATAATTTTTTTTCGCCGAAAAATTTCAGCACCTACTCGAATTTTTTTCTCGAAAGTGCGTAGGAATTCGGGGTCATGTCTATTGACCAAAAATGATTGTAATTGACCCCTGCAACTAAAAATATTTTTTTCAGAACGATTTGAAATTTTTTAATTTTGTCGAAAAATTCACACCTTCTCGAATTTTTTTCTCGATAGTGCGTAGGAATTCGTGGGTATGTCTTTTCACCAACAATGATTGTAATCGACCCCCCTAGATAAAAACAATTTTTTTAGAACGATTCGAAATTTTTTAATTTCCACCATACTCAGAGATTACTTGTTGCCTAGGCAGGCTTGGCCCTAACTTAATAACGATGCTTGTCGTTATTGGTTTATCACAACTACAGTTTTATTGCGTGGGGAGTACGATAGAATCATAGTGGAAACGCCATTGCTCGGAATATCAACCATGAATAGAACAAAAATGTATCTTTCGCGAATATGGATCTAAAAGTAGAGTTTTAGCGATCATGTTCAGTTTGCAAGTGCCTAGCTAACAAGTCCATCTCTGTACGGTACCCAGAATATCCTTTCGACAATGAAAACTTCAAAGCCCGCTTAGATATCCTGTAACCGGCTACGACCACGATGACTCAACAATGGCGATCCCGTGGAACTACGTCGTCCTCGTATCTCAACACCAATCAACCCTCTCTCGAGTACGACAAAACCGTTTCAATTCTCCAGGGCGTCCAACGAGGAGCAAGAGACTCGGGTTCAGCCGTCGTTCCGGGTTCCTTCGAGGCGGCCATTCCCGATCACGCGTTCTTCGTAGAATCCCCTAATTACAAAATCAACGATCCCGATCGTCGCTCGAATTCATCGATCCTCTCTTCCCCGTCCGCGCACGTGACCTCCGTTGTTCGTGACTATCCGCCGGACCAAAATCGGAGAACAATGCCGGTCCCCCTCCGTGAGCGTTTTTCTTCCACTAATACACCATAACACCAAGGGGGTTGGAGGGTGGTGGAGGTTGTTCCTTGCGGGCTCTCATATCGGCCGTCGACGATCAAGGCAGCGTTACAGTTTCCGAAGCGCGAAAACCAAATAGAGACAAAGGGGTCGGATATGGATCGTTGCATATTGCATGGGAGCCGGTTGTATTCTTCTCTAACGAACCAGCAGCCGTTCCAGCCTGGAGGAATACCGGTCCACGGTGGGTTCCACCCTCGCCTGGAATCCTCTGTCACCGACGATCACCGTGGAGGAGACCCAAGAGGTCTATGGGTGGTTCAAGGAGCCAGGAAAGACGGGAGTCAATTTACAAACGTTTTCCCATTTTCGTTCAGAAATAAATTTCTTTCATTTCTCGCTCTGATTGATCCTAACACGATGATCGTCAGGTTTCATAAAACATTCTCCAAAGAGTGACACCACGATTACCATTTAAAGGAATCGAATTTCTTTTTGATTCGCTAAATTAATATAGTCCCAAGAATAATATCGTGTAGTCCATCTACCTTCTAGTAGAAAAATCGAAATTAGGATTTCAAATTAGATTCTACCTTGCGCCGATATGACCAATTAGCTAGCTTATGAAGAAAAATCACCAGTCAGAGAGCATACATTGTTGTTATTAGATAACCACTGTTTAGATCTCTTTCTCGACGTGGAGTTTCATCTGATTTTCTTTGTAAACAGGATACTGCTCGTACGATTAATTACGCGTTAGTCATTGTCTGCTGGAAAGCCTTACCGAAGAGTCTACTTGCAAAGAAATTACTTCCCGTATACAGAGCTGAATATTTTTAACATAGAAGAGTAATTACTTTTAAACCTAAGAATTAGAAATGATAGAAGTTTTCATTTAAAGAATTATAGAAAACCAAGAAATTTTAGCTTTTCTTAGTGTTTGTTTTTGGGTAAATTTAACTTTGTTTAACGTGGAATATATAATGTCGCAATACGGTTGTGTAACCAAATTGGATTAAATGGTACTAATGAGGAATGGTCTAAAAAAGTAATAGGAAGAATCAAAGAGTGACAGTGTTATATTTTATGATGTTGTACATAGAGTAATAGCTAATGTGCCACATATCTGATTGGCATATTAGAACTTAATGTGTTGCAAATGTCAGGAGGTGCAACATGGTAGTTACTTAGTTTACATAAGAATAATAAGTAAGCTATGATCTTTTTCCAAACGTATTAACCGTAGCTGCGTGAGGAAGAGATCAAAACACTTCTAGAATTTCCCTGAAAATAGTTTCAAACTCATCCGAAATTAGAGTCTATCGAAACTTATGCATCGATTAGGGGGTTTCAGTTTCCTTGCTGTAGTTCTTCTTTTACGGAAACGAGGCTAGGATTCTCAGCGAAGCAGCTTTAATTTTAAAATACATTACGATAACATTTCGCCTTCGTTATTCCACGGATAAAGAAACTTAACAATTTTCTCGTTACAGTAACGTACTCGACTGTGCAAAAAAGATGACCTCTGACGGACTTAACCCCCATGCTCTTCGTGCCCTTTAATTATTCCGTTCCATCGTCACTGAGAATGTAGCACTGATTAGGGGCGAAGATTACAGGATGCTGGAAATTGGATCCTTTTCTGGTTTTCATTAAAAGCGTAACCAGGGAACGACGTTCGAGAAAAAGCGAGTTCACGGTTTTCATTTCGGGGGAAATAATTTTCGTCGAATACGCAAAGTTTCATAATTTTTCGCGGAAAGCAAATTTCTTTTTTGTCTCGTCAATTAATTCGCGCGCACGTCGGTGCTTTCGAAAAGCTCCGCTCGCATTATCCACCTACTCCCGGAAATACTTCCGGATTGAATAATTCATACGGAATTGAATATTTAACGTCTGCTTCCCGCCGGGGCTCGTCGATTTAACAATTTCGATCCGTTTAATGCGAACAATGGAGAGAGACAGAGGTAGAAAAGGAGCGAAGAAACCGATCTCGCGCTTTCGACGACTGGCGGAATTATGCAACGCGTGATTCTCCCTCGCGTTCGCGAGCCGCGCTCTGAAATTCAACGGAAACAGCGTTTCATAGGCAAAAACACAGTAACAGATTCCCCGCATCTAATTACCGTCCCCCACAATGGCTGTGTTTAACTTAATTAATTTCATTCATCGAGACTTTGCATTTTAATATCTTAATCTACAACGGTCCGACAAGCTGCTCGACGAATCCTCCGCCTACGAGTACGCGATGCAAGAGATAACCGGCAACATTCTGCATTCAAACGCCCCACCAGATCCTTCATCCATCAAAACTTCGTCTAACGTTCCTAGCTACTCCATCCTGTTTCGTTCGCTTCACCCTCTTTTATAGTCCAATTTTCATTTCGCGCGATAACTTCGAGAATGGATTTTTACTGTACTGCAGTAGATTCACAATCGAGGGAATAAAAAATGTTCTGAAACTCGGGGGATATACTAGTTTACTTTGAGGGGTGGATATTGACGCTTTATTTGGACACTACGGTATATTAAAATATATAAATAAACGTTACGAGCTGGAAGAGGGATAATTGCATTGCCCGAATGACGCGATTTCGATCGAGAGTATGGTTTGCAAATAAAGGGAAACAGCTGGAGGAACGATCCAACGGTCGATCGGTCCGCGCCACCGAATCGGGGGTGGAGGAACACGACGAAAAACGAAGTGTCGCCCGGTGGCGAAAAGGTATTACTGGAAATCGTGACCGCGTCTTTTTATCGCGGCGAGTATATCACCAGCGTGGAATTTCTGGTCCCGGTTCGGCAACCTAGGTATCACGGCTCAGGGCTGGCCATTAGTAGACATTTTGTGTGGTCCGGGGCGCAGTTTTGAGCGGGGCGGACGCTCCTATGCAAATTCGCGGATACCCCAATAAATACTGAAACGGGAAGCCGTACGACGGGCCCACTAGAACGGGGACCAGCGGATCTTGCATTAATTCCGGACGTCATTCCGGTAATTCGACGTGTACCGGTATGGCGCGCCATGGGAATCGCTTTGTTTCAAATAGAAAATCAAAGGGTGGATTAGATCCGAAGTTCTTTGAAGTTTCAATGGATATAAAGACTACAATTTCGTGCAACCATCTTTGATTTCGCGTTTGAAACATTTGATTGGCTACGTTTTATAGACAATGCAGCTATTTGGAGTTTTTTCTCATCTTTGTATAGTTTAAACTCATTTGTAACGTGCGTCAGAGCAACAGAGAGTTAAGGGATGATACGAGGAACCCCCCAAAAGCTAGATTCTTCTTTCACGATAAGTAAATCGTCCAGCCCGTCAGGTATCCGAGAGCTATGTAAAATCAAACCCTTCTTCATTCTGGGAACTTTAAATTTTCGACTTTTTGCCAGCCATGCGACAAGTCGAAGTCGGTAGATCCGGTCGCGGCAGGTGACCCGTCGGTGAACTTTGTTTAATCCTCTTACGACTACTCGTACTAACCTATAATAATCCTCTTTGCAGTAGATGTTGCCATCCCTGGCGAAGCATGTCAGCTCGGCGGCCAGCGGCACCCGGCAATGGCAGCAACGCAAACAGCCGCAGTGCCACGCACGATCGGCAGCCCTCAGGTACCACCGTTCGGCTATCTCTCTGCCGCATCCCCCGCAGCCGAGGCTTCCGTCGGAGTTGTTCTCGCCGGTGCCGATCTGCCGGCCGCTGACGGCACCATTGCCTGGCGGGGGTGTGCTGCTCCCGCAGCCGACTTCCTTCAGCATCTCGTGACGGACGGCCGCAGCCACCGGCGCATTCTACGGACAAACGGCCCCCGGTGACATTTCGCCAGATTTACAGCCCGATTCACGGCCGATCTTTCGACTACTGCCCCCCCGTCCGGACTGGCCTCGATCGCGCCGCTCTCAGACGTTCACGATCACAAATAGATTGAAAAATACACTTTGCTCGATCGAAATTTCATTTTTACGGTGGATATTGTGCAATTGTGTGCACGAATCTTGGGTACAGCTGTCTATAAATGTCTCGAAGGCCCAAAAATTGGAGATATTGTTAAATTAATTGTACTGTACTTTGCCCGATTTAACCAAATGATACTCATCTGGTTGATCGAATAAAAATCGTATCTAACAAATAGAACTTTCGATCTTTAGGTAAGCAACTACTCAGCCTTTTTTTCAACGCGCGGAAAAATGAAGAATCTAGTCATTTCTCGATCAACCGTAAAGTTTCAAAATTCCATGCTCGTGTGCAATTTCGGGTAAGTAGTCCAAGACATTCGAGCAGTGGCGTGTAATTACAGGACTTTAATCGCTCCTTCTTGCAGGGCACCCTTTCCGCATTCACGGAATCCACCTTTTTTCAGGAACGCCCCGTATTTAACGGGCACTCGAGTTCCCCGGGCCACTCGTCCCCCCCGAATTCACGTTGAAAATTTTCCCTGTGGCCCCACGGTCGCTCGTGACTGTTTTTCTCGCGACGATCGCGATGACGAGTGTTCCCCGTGGACGAAGGACTACCCGATCCTCCAGGAGCGGCGACATTGCATTCATTCAGGACACTTCTCCGGCAGCGGCGCACGCAAGAACCGATGAATGAAAACAATTCGTGACTGCTGTCCCGTTAATGAATGACTCCCGGGGTAGTGGCTCTCGGTTTCGAATCGGCCGCGAGCTAATTAGTAGAACCTTGCGGATCGCCACAATAACTCAACGTCCTTTACGAGCGCGGGCCGCACGTGATTTCCGTAAGTTAAATGGAAGGTGACGTCGCCTGGAATCACCGTACACCTCGTTTTACCAAGGTGACGCCGTTTTGCTGCCGCTTGTCACCGACGTATTAGGTCGAACGTGTGCACGCTGATTTACAACTATTCTCCCCCTTGTTTCCCGTTTTCCCCACCGTTATCCATTTTCCATTATTTTTTTTCCCGCGAGATGGACAAAGTTTTATTCCAATTATAGACGAGGTAACATTTAGTCCAACGAGCTGTTCTGATCGCTCAACATGAATTCGTAGGGGAAGTATATTGTTCAGAACCTGCGATCTAGCAAATAGTCTAAGCATCATCTTGGCTTGAACGGTGCATTAACAAAGTAGTGATTTAAACTTTAACTGGAAGGAAATCAGAAAACAAAACTAGTTTGATCCAAATAAACGTTTAAATATGAGATTTGTGAGCAACAGAGAGTACTTTGACGAGTAGGCTTGCATAACTTATATATGCAGAAGCTTATGTTCGATAGTTCGATTTGTGGTAATTTTATGTTAGAGCGGATGGATATCTATAGTTTGTAATTTTTCATGTATATCTGCCTTATTTTTTTTAATGGTACTTTGACAGGTTTTTACTTTGACTCGTTCAATGAATATTACGATAACGTTTTATGGTATTCGTGCGTTAATACCATTTAACTGGCTTGTTTGTATTATCAAACCGACTGATCTAACGATTCAGCCGGCATTACTGTTTCGTTACAATATAATCCTGTAATTTACTGTTTGCTATATTTGCAATTATAATCGAGCCAATTTAAAAATGTCAGATATTGCGCGGACTATGATAGATGGAATCCAACGTGCCACACGATAAAAATGCATCGTACATATTACACTTTTATTGCTCCAAATACGAATAAATATACATTTACTTAACCGAACTAGTAAACAAAATCGCATTAGATACGACACGTTTAACCTGATTGTTAAATGTATTATTTTCAATTACATAGAAAGACTAATATTCTTTTTCTTGAAAGTTCTTCGTAGCAATTCTGATAATTCTATTATATGTATATGTTGGATATAGTTTTGCTTTTCTCTTTCATAAGATAAGCGAGAAACTATTAGGGTGATTTATTGGATTGGAAAAGTAATAACGTGAAGTAAACGTTAACTTTGCGTAATGACAAATGAGTACAGTAGAAAATTCTTCGTAAACAGTAAGAAACGTAGTTCCTGATTCCAGATAAGTTTCTGTCCGCCACGTGAATAATGTTCATTAGGTTCTATTCCGAGTTTCTATTTTCCCGTCAGTCAACCGCAAACACTCACCTCTTACTCCTATTGTAACTTTCTGAAAGTTTTATTTCATCTTCTGCCAGTACCATTACGATTTTCTTCCTTCCAGCGACACTTTTTTTCCACTTCGTTACCTTCAATTCCATTTAATATCTACGTTCTGACTTGCCAAACAGGGGCAATGTACAATTAGAGGGTAATTTTTATAATTTTCCATGGAACAATGGATCACACATTATCGTTACGTACGTATTAACTTTCATTTTTATGAAAACGTGGATACGTACTCGAACAATATACTCAAAGTAATAAAAAGCATTCATCGCTTTAAGACACGCAATTTTGTTAATTGTAAATTGCTACATAGAAAAAATCAGACATAATAAATTACTTTACGCAGAGCTATACTCCAAAGGCTTGTTCAACGTTTTGTTAGTTTCTTATGAGTACAATATAATTAAAATGCAGTGAATCTAATATAATGATTATGAGAATTGATCGTAGACACTTCAAAAATTGTATTAATTTTGTTATGAAAACAACACATTCTTCGAACTCTAGGGTATAGTAGCAATATGTCTAACTGAAAATATTCAAAACTGCAGACTTATGTGTTTGTCAAATTGTGTAGTTTCTTAGGTAATAGCATTTGTTTTCAACGCTAATCTGTTTTATCTCTGGTACAGGTGTAACTCTCGTGTTTGTTTCTCATCGATAACGCTCGTCCCCCTCAATGAAATCCCGAAAAGCCTCAGATTTAACACAAATTAAACAATTTGCCCCTAGTCCCATGGGAAGGCGTGTCAGGTAGACAGGCCACGTTAGAAACCATCGAAAATCCTTCTCCCAATCTTGTTCCCTCGTCCTTCGCGCTAGACCCTTCCGTCAAGTCGTAACGTCAGCCCTCGTCCCGCGAAATTTTAATGATCGGTCAGCCACTGTTCTTACCTACCTGGTCGTTCGGTTAACCAGCTGGAAACGCGGCGTCGAATTCCACCCGGCGCTCCCGACGCCGTCCACTTCCTCTCCGCTGTCCTCGCAGTCGTCCGTCGCTCGCCTATTCTCGATCCTCGCGAACGATCCCCGCCGGATTTACTTCTCGAACCTGGCTATTTCCATCCGAAAGGCTGAACCTTGAACCAGGAGCACCGAGTTTTCCCCCGATTCGAACCCTGAACGATCGAAACGATCGACCAAACTAGCGATCCAGAATCCGTCGGAAGCTGACGCGACAACGAAGAATTCTGGGGTTTAACCAGAAGCAAGAAGTAGTTCGTAACGATTTCATATTACAAGTTTTACAGGATATTTTCCCTTGTCTCTGCTTCATAGACGCCCTAAATATGTTCTTTAACCCCTTGTCGTACAATAACTAGTCTGACTCGACACTAGTGTTACGTATCAACACATTTTTACACTCACGATGTATTCGTAAAACAAATTTAAACAAAATAGTATACGTTTGAGAAATTACATTGAATCGTACGTCAAGGGATTAAATGCACAGCCTCAGAGATTGCATACTTCTGATCGAATGTACGTCTACACTCTGCCCATTGAAATTGTGGTAAATTTACGAGGAACGTGAAGAGTTTAACACGCGTTGTCAAAGGGTTAACGATCAGATCAGCACATCTTTGGGGACTCTAAAGACAGTGTTTACGGAGGAATGAAGCGGAACTGCGGTTAACCCGAGGTGGTAATTCGGTGGTCGTCTGAACGGGGATCCGGAATCACTGAACGAACTGGCGACCGCAACGATTCCGCAGAATGGTCGGTTAAAACGGCGGACTCGTTCCGACAGCTCGTCATCGTTCTGGTCGATCGTCCGATCGTAGGAGGCTTCCGTGTACCTGTCGGCCTCCGCGGTTCCTCCGGGTGGTCTTCCAGCGTCGCTGGCCTTGTCTCTATCACCTGGTCCGCGTCCGGATCATCGTCGTGTTCCTCCGCGGGCACCGGCGTCGTCGCGTAACCACGTTTCCTCGCGTCGCCGCGCGCCGGCGGGCCGCGTCAGCTCACTGAATCCTCGCCCGTTCACTCGGCCGGCGCGGCGACGGTAACGCGAGACCGGAAGACGCCACTTTCTCGCGCGGAGAGACGCTTCTCTTTTTTTTTCCACGGCGGAGTGAAAATTTCTGCGTGACACCCGGGGATACGCGGAATACGGGCGTAAGGTTCGGGCCGAGTGGCAGGCGAGTCGGCTGCGAGGGAAGCTGCTCCCCGTCGGCGTGATAGCACGATCCTGGGCTGGCCAGACCAGGGCCAGGGGCGGACGCCGACATGCCAGGATAGAGGGGTTGGCCCCCGCGTGCACCGACGTCGCTAGGGGTGGGGTTTTCGGCTGCCTCGAGGGGTAGAGACGTCGGGACGCCAGGCGTCTGCGCGATCACCAGCCGTATCTCTGTCCTCGTCGACGCCGCGTCGCAACGCGACGACGCGACGCCTGTAGTCTAGCCGACCGCTGGACGGCTGGTACTCTTTCTCTCTCACCGCGACCAGTTTCTGCACGCTTCTCTTTGGGATCTCAAGGGTCCCGATTTTTTGGTCAAGAGTAAACGATATTCAGGGTTTAATTGAATCTTGGACTACCCGAGTTTCGAAGCAATTTTAACGATTTCGGTTTAAGAGACAGGGTTGGGGGCCGGAAATAGTTTATCGGGGACGTTTGGTTTCGTTTCGGCGCTGGTTTGACTTTGAGCACTCCTTTATTGAGTTTTAAAGGGTTCTGAATTTTTAAGCATCGGTATTGAGGATTTAAGTACTGGAGATAGGTGGGGATAGACATATTATTTGATCATTTTAACACGAATTACATTGGAGCAAGGATC